TGATTTTTTTCTTGGGTAAATGATAGTATACTTCTCCCCCTCCAACACCCACAGCCCCACACACATGCATGTGCTCATGTGTGCTTGCATGCACGCACACGCTCACACACACGCGCACACACACACACACACACACACACACACACCCTTATCAACAGGCTGAAATCCGACTTCATCTTCTTGTGCTGAGTCTATCATACTCTTCATATCCATCTCGGACCCCTTCACCACCACTTTCCTTTTCTATCATTCCCGCTTGACCTCTTTCTTCTCCTGAGCTAAACAAAACTGTCATTTTCTCTCACCTTTACAAGATGAAAATAACTCCTTGCTTAGAAATAAAATAGTTAGAAACACAGTGTGGAGAGGATGCCTATAAAGCTCAAAATATTTTTTTATGTTTATTTTATTTTTGAGAGATACGGTGCCAGTGGGAGAGGGGCAGAGAGAGAGGGGGCCAGAGGATCTGAAGCCGGTTCTGTGCTGACAGCAGAGAGCCCAATGTGGGGCTTGAACTCATGAACGGTGAGATCACTACCTGAGCCAAAGTCGGATGCTTAACCAACTGAACCACCCAGGCTCCCCAGCCCCAAATAGTTTTTTAAATGAAGTATTTTTTTAACAAGTTGAGAATATTTTCAAAAACACTCTCTTGATAATTGAAACACAGAACTTTGCAATGGCCTACAGAAGCTGAAGCCCAATCATTTGTTATAAAAAAAGAAAAGGATACAAATGTATATGTCTGCATAGAAAAAGGTCTAAAAGTGTATGCAACATAACATTAACAGTAGTTTCATCTGAAATATTGGGGATGGGGTTAATTTCCTTCCCTGTATGGTTGTATTTTCTAAGTGTTTCCATAATTTGTAACATTACTTCAATAATTTAAAAAATTAATACATTATTTGAATATATGGCCAAAGAGAAAAGGGTGGGAAAGGCGAATAGCAAAGGAGGCGATGGGGAAGAAAGAAGTAGCACGGAAGTGAGAAGTGAGGGCAAAGAAGCAAGTCCACTCCAGATGCAAGGAACAGAGACACAACTTAAAATCAGTCTCCATCCCCATCCTGCTGACCCAGGAGTCCCATGTTTGTGCCGGCAGTACCACTAGGAGATCCTAGTGGAGTCCAAAGCAAAGCAAAGAACCACTTTCCCTGGCATAAAGGTAACCATTTAAAAGAAGAAAATAACAAAGTTTTGCTGGGGGTGTAGCTGGAGAATTTCACTCAAGAATGCTGATATTCACAGAACTGCTTCTCTCTACCTTCCCTCTACATCCTAAGCTCCAGGAGCCACTTAAAAGCAGGCTATCTATTTTCAAGAAGTAAATCTCTTGGACGAGTACCTTATGTTTATGAGCTGGAATGGGAAGGTGCTGGGCTGTGTATTGGAACTCCCAGCCAGAGAAGACAGTTATCTCTCTTGGCACAGGTTCTCAGGGATGAGACCATGTCTAGCGGGGATTTTCTCCAGATTCGACAGCCTTGGCCCTACCAAAATGCACAGCTTTGTTTTCACCATACATCCATCACTCATCGTGAGCCTTTCATTTTTCCTTTCAACCATCCACAGGTCAGATACTGTGTGTTCCCAACAGTCTGTGAACTTCTTGGACCAGCAAAGGGACATTCATTTTTCTCAGCACTCCTTCAACATTTCTATTGTATTCGATTTCCCACTCCCCCTGCCCAGCTCCCTGGAGAGTGACTTCTTCCTTGTTTTAATAACTTGGACCACAGTCAAGGTTGATGTGTTACTCCATTTTGTAGGATATTTTCTTCAGAAGAGACAAAGCAGACTAACGGAGTAGCTGGGGCTTGTGAGCAGCTTTAGGAATTCAGCATCCATTAGGAACACACAGGAAAGGTTTTTAAAGAAATAAAAAGTAGGCAACACAAAGGCCTCATAAACAGAATTATTCATAAAGGTAGACTAATGCTTTTCCTGGCAATTTTCTCTCCCAGTGACCCGCTTTAAAAAAATCTAATTTCATTTGTGAGTGACGAAAAGGGTCGGAGTTAAGAAAGTGGGTTCATAAAGTACCTTCTCTGACTTAAATTGAAATACAATACTCTCCCATTTGAAGTCATAAAAGTAGTTCTGATCTCAATGGGCACACAGATATAAGAAAATGAATAGAGAGAGGAAGAGAGAGGAGTAAATCAGGGTCAAGAGTATCCCTTCCTCCCCATTATATCATGTTTTCATCTCATCTTGCCCATACTCTCCCTAAAATCCCATCCCCAACCATTGTAATAACACTGCTCCCTGACATCTAATGAAAGATGTCTCCAAGGAACTGGTTAGGACACAGGGAAAAGCCCTGTTCTTTTTTTTTTAAGTAAAATTTTCAAGGAAAAAAAGACATGAACAAATATTTAATGGGGGTTATTCTGAAGTCCACATCTTTTTAATAAAAAATTTGATAATACTACATTTTTATAAGTGATATGGAAATTATCTTTTTTTCTCCAAAACAGGAGTCAAACCTCCAGTTTTTCTGTTATATATCTATTGTGTCACCATGATTCTTCTTACCATTGATTTCAAACAGTGGCAAGACACTAGCTGTGAGTTTAAATAAAAAATAGTTATTTATCTTTCTTCACGGAATATCTTTATTCAAATGTGTTTTCCATATTAACAGTGTTTTCGTACCGTGACAAAAGTAAGTGAATTTGGCATCAGAAAGAAGAATGACACCAACCCAGATTGTGTCTCCCCTGGACAAAAGCCCAATTTTCTACCGGAATAACAGATTCAACTGAATTCAGTTCTTGGCAATTCATGGGCTTGGAGGGTAGAACTAAGGAGTAGCCATTTTTTTTTTTTAATTTTTTTCCAACGTTTTTATTTTATTTTTGGGACAGAGAGAGACAGAGCATGAACGGGGGAGGGGCAGAGAGAGAGGGAGACACAGAATCGGAAACAGGCTCCAGGCTCCGAGCCATCAGCCCAGAGCCCGACGCGGGGCTCGAACTCACGGACCGCGAGATCGTGACCTGGCTGAAGTCGGACGCTTAACCGACTGCGCCACCCAGGCGCCCCAGGAGTAGCCATTTTTAAGAGCCATAAGAGAGGCAAACTGTGGGTCATGACACATCAGTGGGTTGTAAAATCAATCTACACATCACAAGAAGCATTTTTAAAAATGAAATTGAATACAGTAGAGAACATCAGCATGCACAGCTTGGAGTAAGGGTAAGCACTGTTTTATGAAAATGTATGTGTATGTGTGTGTGCATGTGTGTATACTGGATCTTGGTGTAAAAGGTTTTTTAAGTGTCACTATCTAAAAAGTTTAAGACACTGATCAAGGACTCAGACCCTGGACTCAGAGAGAAGTGGATTCCAACATGGCTCTGCCACTAACTTGCTGTGTGAACTTGGATTACCTGGCTTAGTCTCTCCACCCACCTCATCTGAAAGATGGACATACCATAGAATATTAGGATTGTCATGAGATCAAAAGACCCTTACACAGGGCCCAATAATGTTAACATCCACATAAGGCACAAATCACAAATGGAAACAGGCATTGGTTGACTTACAATGTGTTCTAAAGGGATAAATCCAGTGTGAAAGAAGATGTTAGTAAGTTAGACAATTGAAACTTTTTTTGCTCTTCAAAGAGTTGCTCCTCTGTAGGACTACCTATAGGAGATATCTTATCCTTTTCATTCAGCTTTCTGAATAAAAATAGTATTCAAGAAATATATTTTGGTTTCAGAACTCCTTTTCCAAAATGCAAGGACCAGACAAATAAAAACTCTTCTAGTTTTTTTTTTTTTCTTAAATGGGGTTGAACAAAACAAACTTCACTTTGTGCTTCATCCTTACAATATAGCTTCTGATTCCCCAGCAAGTGACTAATATCACGTGTTTAAAGACCTTAAAAGGTATCAAAATTATCTCTACTATGGAAAGACCCAGAGTTAAACACATGCCAAGATTCCTTATCTGTCATTTTTGTAATCAAGCAAACAAACAAACCCTGTACTCCAGCACAAAGAATTTTAAAAACTGAAACATACTGCTCACTTCACAATCATGTTCTGACTATTCTTGGCATTTAATTTGGGGACAGTTTCTGAATTCTGAGAATGGGAGAGAGAAAAAAAGGAAAGGGTCCAGAAAGGGTGAGAGCAAGAAGCCAAGGGACATCAGACAAGCTAAAGGACAAAATGCTGAAATTGTCAGCAGCCCCTTGGATGGAAGTGTGGGATGAAAGTTTCAAGTCAATGGGCTTTTTTACTTTTGGGTCTAGACAGAGAAAGGTGAGATTTGGATAAAATAGAAAAATTGGGGGAGGACGTGGGGAGAAGGATCTAACAGTAACTCCTGGAAGACTCAAAAACAACTCTGCTGACCATTGAAGGGTGACTCAAAAGCCAGGACTGAGTAAACAAAAGAAAGAAGGATAAGAAGAGGGAGACTGGTGCCAGGGTTCCAGAAAATAAAATCAAAAGAAAGAGCTACGGGAATGTCCCAGGGTGCAGGTTATAGCGCTGGGAAGTCACAGATGTTGAGAATGAAAAAAAAGTTTTTGCAAGAATTCTGGCAGACTTGGGGTAAAAATTAAGTTCTCCCTGAGAGATTTAAAAGCAAAGAAAAAGAAAGTTACGTATGCCTGAAAGATCTGACTGATCTAACAGGAATATGTATAATACCCCAAATTTAGTATTTAGTAAAACATTCCAGAGGAAATGAACAGGGTTCCTGCTGCATCATTGTAAAAATTGCTTTCTAGGAGTATGTTGATGAGAATTGTCACCACCTCCATTTTTGCCCTCAATATGTCAATGATAAATAAGAGGGAGAAAGGGAGGAAGAGAGGGAGGGAGGGAAAGAGAGAGAGAGGGAGAGAGATTCTTCCCATCCCATTACACCAACACTACCCTGATTACCCACTGTCAATCCTAACTCCTGCATCACCCCAGGCGCCAGTCAACAAGGCCTACATCATTGGCTTTGCCATCATCGCATCATCCACTCACTTGCTCTGCCCTTCTGTCCATTTCACTGAGCTGGAGCTCCCAGCAGCAACTCTAGAAGAGAAGAAGAGGTGGGGAATGGGGAATGGAGCATGCGTGGCTCTAGCAAGCCCCCCCAGATCCCAGAATCCAATGAAAAGTCACTAATACACAGAGATGTGAAACTAGTTGTCTAGTCCAGAGTGTTGAGCTTAATCCCCAGTGCCACTTGGGTTGCTGGTGGGGTAGAAGGCAGCACACTGAGGCTGGAAAGAGCCTCTGCTTTGGAATTAGATCCAGACTTGGAATCCCAGCTGTACCACTTAACATGATGTGAACATGGGAAATGATGTACATCTCTGAGCTTGATTCACTTATTTGGAAAACAGGGCGACAATACCTAAGCCCTACAATGTTGTCAGGAAGATTAAGTGAGGTGACCTAGAAGAGCACCTACTGCATCACAGGGATGTCACTAGAGTCACTGGTGTCATATCCTAATGTCATATCATATCTTCACTAGAGTCCTATCCTAATGCCGTCAACTTAGACTTGTTAGAAAATGAAAAGTGAATCCTTGTGCTGTTGGAAGCAAGTCCCACCTGTTTGCCTTTTTAAATATTCAGGTGCAAAGCATTTCCCATGCCTATGCTGTGTTCTCCCTATTGTGACTATATATCAAACAGGAAGAAACCCTTTTGGTACAACCAGGTGTGAGCACATCTTACTCTATAGTGTCCAAATCTTCATCGCTCAAATACGAATTTGCATCCTGGGCATTATAAACTGAAAGGATGTCTCAATAAGATAACGTAATAGTTAACATCTGTGATATCATTAACAAAACAAACATTAAATGAGGTTGAATTGACACAATTGTGAAGAATTCTAAAACATTCAATAAGTAAAGGCCACTTTGCGTTTTTCTCAATATTCTCAATCTCTTGTTCCAGACACATACAAAAATCCCCTCTTTATGTTCCTGAAAATTTAATACTGTCCACAAGCCACCAACCGGGGGAGGGAGGAAAGTATTTTAATCCTACAGAGAGCCATGACTATTCTAAAGCTGCACTTTCTTCATGAGTTATAAGTGCCTTTAAAACGGTTCAAGCAGGTGTACTTTTTAAGGGCCATGGAACAGAGAAAACCTTACCCCTTTAAGGTGGCTCCTAAGTTCATCTGATTCCAGGTCATGCATTCAAGCTGGGAGGTCATTTGGTATAAATTGTCACTGTTAGAAAAACATCCAGAGTTAAAAACACATAATTACAAAAAGATATACAGCTATTTCTTCAAAAATCAATGGAGGTTTACCTTTATTTTGCAACGAAAGCCTTCATGTTTTCCAAAATGACAGAATATGGGAGTCTGAAACGATTTTCACCTCACCCCACTGATTCCTGCACAGTTATTCACTTCACACACAGCAGAAAGGATGTGAGAGTAATCTGGAAGCCTTTTAAAAACCTGAGTACAGCAAACACAAGTTTCTAAAGAGGTATTAAACCTTTCAGGGGAAGAGGCTAAAGGGAGTAGAACTCTTGAAAGGCAACACAGGCTGGATAACTCAACATTAAAGTTAAAAGCCTGGAGCTGAAAGTAAAAAGATGGCAGATTAATTATTCGTGAAAAGGCCATTAAGTTGTTTTAATCAAAAGGATAAGTATCATGTGGATTATGAGGGTCTAAAAAGTCAAAGAGTGATGTGTGGTGGATGGTCTAATACTCAAGGATGTGACAAGCAAAAGGAAGAGGATGATAAAGTCTATGCACAACTGAAGGAATCACTCTCTAGAAATTTTATCACCCTAGTACAAGTTGAATGGAGTTAAAAAAAAAAAAAAAAAGGCCCCAGCCCTTGTTCTAGAAAGTTCTAAGAAGGAAAACAATCTCTGATCGTTTACATTAAGACTCCACAGGAGAAAGTACACTCTCATGTAAACCAACCAAAAATTGTTCTCTCCTCTCCTCTTACAGTTATCTCACTCCTAGAAAACTGGCACATAAATCAATGAGCAGAAATCTCCTTAATTACCAAGCTGTGATAGGAATACATTTAGTCCTGAACCGACATGGTCAATTACGAAATTTGAGACCTAGAGATGAATGGGTTGTCTGCGAACCCTTGGTCTAAACACATTACAGAGGAATACCTTCATTCTACCTTCATGGCAAAGAGAGAGAAGCTTTCAATATCTACTCTGCAGTATCAGATCCCAAACCTAGACAATCTCTGTCTTGTCATGGCATGCCTTTGGGTTGCTTCATTGGGCAGGGGCAACACCAAATTTTAATTAAGAGAAGGTATTGTCAGGCTAGCCAAACTGGGAACTTGTGGAGGGGGTAAGGGAGATTGCAGCAACTTGGAATAAATGGACACCGTGCTCCCTCTAGGCATAGCTTGATAAATCATGGCCCAGTCCCTCTGCCGTTCACATAATCACTCTGAAAATGATTTGGAACTCCTTCGTGGCGGGCACACAGGATAAGGAGAAAATCAGATTCCAGGAGGGAATTTTACATATGAAACGTGAAGTGACTTCAAACTCGAACTATGTGTCCTTTCATTAGTCAGTGTCTATCTGGGCCCCATCATTCATCCTCGTGTCTGACTGGCTATTATGCTACTACAATATCCTACATATCAATGAAAAAACATGATTAGTTTCTCCTGCAGCTTCTCCATTTGCAGTAGCGGCCCGTGCTGGTCTGTGCCACTACCGTTTCGCAATTCCACAAATTCTTGCTGTAAGGCTGGTGTAATTAATTCCTGAAGGACCCCAATTTTTATTAGAAGTGCCAGCCCTGCTGCATTTAACACAGAAGAGTTTCGTGAACTTTCTTTGGGCTGACAGCTCATTAATAAGCAGCCTCCTCCACAATCTCTACTGGTTTTTGTTCTCTTGCGCCTTTTCATCAAGCAATCCATTTATTAATCTCGCCATTAATCTCAGCCAACAGGCATTGTATTCCCCAGGCAGCTCTGTATTTTTGTCACTGATTTTTAAAAAATTGTTCACCAACTAAAATCACTCAGCTCCGGTTGACAATTTTCCTAGGCCCTGTTGGGATGTGGGGTCTTTCTGAAATTATTTCATCCTTGCATAAGACTAAGACCATAATTTTCAAGAGAGCTGGGAAGCAAGACAAGGGACAGAAGTTTATGCACACGGGTTAATGAGTCCCAAATATCTAACTTTATGATTTAGGAATTTTCTCACAGACTTAAAGAGTAGTCCAGTAGATTCCTAAGGGTCTCTATCAGGAAGTACCCCAAAGAGAAAATATTTTTAAGGCCATTTTCTCAGCCCCCAGAAAGCAAATTTTCTCAAATATTCGGTCTATGTCTTCCATGTATGTATTGTCCTAGTGTGTGCTTAATAAATATTCCATACTGCCCTAATAAGATAGTTACTAGTCAGACAAGGCTATATTGAGCACTTGAAATGTGGCTAGTGCTACACATTGAAATAAGATTTTGACTATTTTGAATTAAATACAATGTATTAAAAATTAATTTCACTGTTTTATTTTTTTAATGCAGCTACTAAAAAATTCCAAATTATAAATATGGTTTGCATTGGTTTTATTGGACAGTGCTATCTGTAAGTTTTAAGACCTTGAGCCAATCAGTTCAGCTCACTGCACCTCAGTTTCCACATCTGCCAAATGGAAATATTAATCTCAATCATTCTAACTTTACAGGGATGTTGTAAAGCCCTAAAAATGGCTCTTTGAAGACTATACAGATCATAAATTTTAATTTTTCCTAATCTATCAAATTTTTCACAGTACTTTTCACACATTCCCCACTATGCCCCACAACTTTGTGAGGCAGGTACAGTGATGATCCCCATTTATCAGAGAAAGAGTGAGGCTCAGAGACATGCCTGATGCTGGCCTGCCTGACGCTCCCACCTCACCTGCCGCATCCCTTTGAAGGCATCCTGGCATTATTTGGCCTCTAAGCTCATCGTCTACCATTTAAATAATAGTAATCATTATACAATAATAATACAGACAAGTCTGGAGATGAAAGAGAACATGTTCCAGGAAGCACTGTGACTTTCTCTGTCTCCAGAAAAGTTAAAACGTGCAAGATGCCCAACATGTCCTTTTCAGCTAAGAATCCTATGCCAAGATTGCAGGAGGAGCCCCACTTCTTGTTTTGGTGGTCCTGATAGCTCAGCTTGCAAATCCTCTTGAAGGGAGAGAAGATGGGATGGGCCAATAGGGGAGAAGGACTTTTAGAAACCCCCCAACCTACTAATAGGTTTCCTGAGTCCAGTGATAGGATCAGAGCACAATTTTAACCACATCCTGCCTTCTGCTGGCTGAAGTTCCTCAGTGGTTCCGTCTGTCAGCTTTGGCTGGCACCACCTTTTTACTGGAAGTCAATGACAGCAATGACAATAACTCCTCTGCTGGGGAGGAGACAGAATGTGAACCCGAGCTAAAAATACTGGACCCAAGCATGCTCCAGCTCTGATCTCTTTGGGCAATCGGTCAACACCCAGCTTTCATCGTGAAAACCCACAGAAAGAGGCAGCGCTGGTCAAGGAATATATGGCCTCTGAGAAATAAAGCATCTAATTATTAAATAACCACTGTAGGTGTTGACCACCTCATTCCCAGAGGAGATCAGATAAGCAGGTGGTTTGGCTCAAAGCAACCACAGTGGTCACGTAGGCATTTCAGCTCGCCATCTAACCCTGTTCGGAAGTGAACTCTGCAATTGCAGGCTGCCAAAATATATTCCAAAAGTCATGGTATCCTTTATATTTTTTTAAGTAGACTTTTTTTTAAAGCCCCTTGTTTCCTATGTAAGAAATGTTTGAAGTTGGAAGCAAGGGAGAGAGGAAAAAACCTTCTGTAACTGGGATTAATGCAAGTTGGAGTAAAATAAAAGGAAGTCAGTCCTAGCAAAAAGAGGAACTTAAAAGGAAATCGGTAGTAGATCATATAGAGTTTGTTTTGGCCTGGACTCCAGTATTACTGAGTTCTCGACCTCCACACAAAAAGAGAGGAGGAAAGAAAGCCCTCAGCTAGTATCTGGGCTGGGACTCCTCCGCTCTTCAAATGTGTGTGTAATTCAAGTACATTTTCATCTTTAAGAGTGTTTACTATATATTCAGCAGAACAAGGTAGAAAAATTCATGTCACCAGTAGAATGGAGCTGACGAACCTGCTTAAGACCAGCGTTTCCTCTGCCAGATGGTTGCCAGCTGGCAAAGTAGCACCTTGGTGGAAGTAAAGAGTTTCCCCCAGAAGACTGATGGAAAAAATGAATGAATGGATGGATGAATGAGAAAAGAAAACACCAACCAAGAAAAATGCAGATATAACTGCCATCTGTGATCAGAATTCATGATGTCCAGCTTTTGCTGCAATAGCCCTGTCCCGCACCCACAGAGAGGCCCCTGTGGGTTCACCTCTCTACCTGATAACCACGGCTCAGGAAAAGAGGCTGCAGCCAGACTTCCACACTGCCCTTTTCCTGCGTTCTTCCCCCCAAGGCGCCATAGAGGCTGCCTGTTGAGAAATTTCTGCCCAGCAGGCCCTGGTGAATAATTATTTTACAGTCAATCTCTTGGTATTGTTATTTCTCTCCAGCTCACCAGTTCACCAAAGAAAAACCCACTGGGGATTCAATTTCTATTAATAAACACTTGGTCAGCACAAGAGTTGCAGGAATATTTGAAACTAGATTTTTCCCCCTCCCTGGAGACAAGTCCGTTTCAAGACTTTGGTTTTGATACTGCCCACCCCTGGAAACCATTTCACCTTTCTGTCTTCATGACTATCTATGTGGGAAACAAATATCAGTATTGTCTTAAGTGAAACTTGTACACCATGTAAATGTACATATGTTCGCAAGTGAAAAGAAGTATTATTGAATATAATATTATTTCCTTGGGCATGAGCTGCCCTCTGGCACATGTCTATGTTGAAAGCCCACCTAACTAGTATATAGTGCACTTCCCAAAGACCTGGCTTCCCCAGAAACTCTATGCCTGCTATGGAAGTCTCTCTCACATGAAAAACAATCTGCTGGTAAAAGCCTCCACTGTCAACTTCGTCGCTCATGAATCAACATTCAAGCATTTAAATTTTTTTTACTTTTTAAAAATTTTGTTTATCAGTTTTGAAAGACAGAGAGAGTGTGAGCGGGGGAGGGGCAGAGAGAGAAAGAGAGAGAGAGAGAGAGAGAGAGAATCCAGAGCAGGTTCC